AATCCGTGGTATTGGAAGCAACAAGAGCCTTAGATTGTGGAGTATTTCCAGATGCCTGAAAGGTGAGATCAAAGCGGTGGAAGTAAGAAAGTGTAGAGTGGCCAACTTTGTTGCAGACCTGGCAAGTTACCTTAGGTTGAGACGGGGTTGTGCCATTGTTATGACCCTTACCTCTGCCACCACGTGAAGGGGGTTGCCACCGCAATGAGACTTTCCACGAGCGCAGGAAGAGCAAAAAACTAAGGTGGACTTGGAGTCAACTGGTAAGTTGTGCCGCTGAAGAATCTACTGAACAACACGGTGTTGAGGATGCCCAAGACGTTTGTGCCAGCCATCTACGTACCCCCAAGAAGGCCACAAGTCCCTTATTCGAGCTACTAGAAGGAGATACAGAAAGCTGATAGAGGCCATCCTTAATCGGCCCTGAAAGGATTGGTGTCCCCTGAATTTTGTCCTTCACAATAAAACCAGAATCATCAAACTCAACAATTACATTATTATCATGACAAAACTGATGGACAGATAGCAGATTTTTTTGTGATATCAGGCACATGAAGGATATTATTTAAATGCAGTATACGAGAGGTATGTCCAATGTGTTTGACGTCCAAACTTGTCCCGTTACCTACGACTATTTTGTCAATGTTGTTGTAATCAAATCAAAGATAAAGATTGTCGAGGTTGGCTGTAAGGTGATTTGTGGCACCGGTGTTCGGGTACCAGTCGCCATTAGAGGAATCCATGGTATTGGAAGCAACAAGAGCCTTAGATTGTGGAGTATTTCCAGATGCTTGAAAGGTGAGATCAAAGCGATGGAAGCAAGAAAGTGCAGAGTGACCAACTTTGCCGCAGACCTGGCAAGTTACCTTAGGTTGAGATGAGGTTGTGCCATTGTTATGACCTTACTTCTGCCACCGTGCAAAGGGGGGTTGCCACCGCGACCACCACGATGAGAATTGGGTGATCAAACTCCTGGTTTGTGCACTGCTGCATTGGCAGAGAGCTGTGTGTCAGAGAGAGTAGAGTGTTGGTGGTTGAGTCTGAGCTCGAATTGATGTAGAAGACTGTGAAGTTCTTCGAGAGATAAGGGGTCATGTCTAGTGGTGATGGCTGTGACTAGCGGGTCATAATCTAGTCCCAAACCTCCCGTGATGTAGAGGATTATGTCATCTGATGAGAGTCCTTGTCCGACTGCTTCAAGTGCGTCTGTGTAGCCTTTGATCTACTGCAGGTAGTTAGTCATTGATTTCGAGCCTTTATGGAGGTGGTGAAGATCATTTTTTAGTTGCATGATCCTAGCTCAGGAGGGAGAGGCATATATACGAGTCAGGGTCATCCAAGCGTTGTGAGATGTTTTGCAACTGACGACTTGAGCGAGAGCTCCTTCAGTGAGAGTCGCAAGCAACCAGCTGAGCAGTAATTTGTCCTAGATCTGCCAAGAGGTGAACGTTGGGTTCACAATTTTGATACCAGAGGTATCAGTTGTATCACCAATGTATTGCAGGGGACATTGGGTAGAGCCATCGAGATAGTCAAACAGGCTTAGACCTTCAAGCATGGGTTGGTACTGGGCTTTCCACAATAGATAATTGTGTTTATCTAATTTTATTGAACTAAGATTGGCAACGTTACTGAAGGGTGAAGGGAAAGGAGAGGAGAAAGAAGATGGGTTTCCAGCCATGGCTCTGATACCAAGTGAAAGGGGATGGATTTGGTAAAATGGTCGATAATTGAATTGCTGATCAACCGGGATTTAAATACAGTGGTTTACATGATAAGCGCATCAGTTAGGATAACTCTATCTGAAATAGAGTTTGTGATATACAATAACTCTAAAGGATAATCCGATCATCATGATCTACAACTCATGCAAGAGTTACGTGAATATGAGAGACTCTAACTTGATTAGACGAGGCATGATAATTTTTGTAACATCTTGTACACAAAATTGGTTAAACCAATTGATCTGAATTCTACCACTTCTTTGACCTCTCCTTTTTAGGAATAAGAGTAATATTTGTGTCATTAGGCTCAGTTTGGAAAGAGCGCAAATATAAATATGTAAAGTGAAAAACCTTGTATTTTATATTATTTTGTATGTATTTATACTATACATATTTATATTTGTACTCTTTAGAGCCTTATGGTGTGTTTGGTTTGAAGGAAAAAGTAGGGAAAGGTAGGGAAACCTTTACAAACTTTGTATAGATTTTTGTCCCTTTCCCTTTCTTTCCTTACCTTTTCCTTCAAACCAAACATAAGCTTAATGTCAAAAATTTTATGTGTGTAAGCAAATAAATCTTGAATGAAAAGAACAAATTCATCCTAGAGAGTCCCAACACTTCTGGTAGAACTGAGACGAGATACCAACCGGGACGACGCCTTCATGGGTGAATACCAAATAGAACATTTCGAATCTCATCAAGCATAGGGACAGCACAAGGTAATAAATAAATTCTCGGTATCTAAAATAACAGCTGGTGCTACCATATGAGAAATAGAGGGTAAACCAGGATTGGAAGTGGAGAAGAGAACCATTAGTAGGAATTGACCATGCTTTCTATTTTAGAAGGAACATTTGTCCAGCGGCCATTTGTGGTATAAAGTAAGGTTTTAAAAATCGACTTGGAATGAAAACCATTTTGGCCATTGGTTTCTAGCTTGATGATTCGACCTTTCAGTTAGAATAGACGGTCTATTCCAACTAAAAAATAAAAAAAATTAAAAAAACAAGTAAAATATAAAAATGGCCAAAAACCCTTGAATGGGTTGACAGTTTGACTGTTCGGGTCAGCGGGTTGCTGACCAATTCAACAGTTTTGGCCAAGGACCGAGTTTAGGGTAAAATTGAACCAGTTGCCTGGATGGTTCTCGGGCCGAATGGTCTGACCGTTTTGATCAACGGAGATTCAAGAACATTGGTACAAAGCCATTCAATAGAATTCCCTCTCTTCCGGGAAGAAGAGGCAACCTCTAAAAAGTTAGTATTCAAAACGTATAGGGTATTTCCTCCAAATTCACTCCTTAGAAGTATGAACAGTAATAGGTGCATGATCACTTCCTACAATTGGTATATGATGGACCCAATTTAATCTTTCACATACTAAGGTTGTGTTTGATATCATTGCCACTTCTACTGCAACATTTTGTGTTAGTCAATATAAAGTTTTTGAAAAATTGTATTGTCACATCAAATCAGATAACCACTTCTCTTTTATAGTTTAAACACCAATTTTTTGACTTTCATGAAGAAGCATCTAGATCACAACCATTGCTCCATGTAAACCGTGGACATTTATAGCCAAGTTCAATCAGGTTACAAGCAGATATGAAATCTAATAATAGTTGGTTTTGAGCTAGGGTGATGCCACCTATAAGGAGATGAAGAATTTTGCAACAATTCCTACAATCGATCAAATACAGCCTGTATATAGCCAGAATCTGGATGACCATAAACACCATAACATGTCCAAATGAAATGAATAGGAGAATTAGAAATCTGGGCATAACTCATAATAAAGTAATAGCCATTTCAAACACTTTTTTTCTGAATTTTGTACTTAGAGAACTAATAAAATTATCAACAAATAAATACTAATAAAACATATGATTAATATGTGTAGTGAAAGTTGAGTTAAGATCTTACATTAAGAAGTTCTACAAGATTTTAAGGGATAGGAAGAAGGTTGGGTTAGGCCCAACCTGAGCCCAACCCAACTCAAAGTTGACTTCGGGTCGGGTTGGGTTGGGTTGGGTTAGGGTTGGAGGTATTTAGTTAGGGTTGGGTAAGTCGGGTTGAGTTAGGGTTAGGGTTGGATAGGTCGGTTTGAAAGTCAGGTTGGGTTAGAATTAGGGTTGGGGTTTAGAACTTAGGGTTGGGCTAGGGTTGGCCTCAACCTGACCTAAAGGTGCACCCACCTGTGGAAGAGGCCACTAAAGAATCGAGTCAGCAATACTGCCAGATATATTGTGAACCTTAGGCTGTATTTGGTTGCGACATACAAAGCTATGACGGTGCAAATGATTTGAATGTAAATTCTAACCTATATTTTTTTCAAAATTTTGCTTATCTTATTTGATTGTAGTACAAATGAAGTAAATTAAGACATGAAGCAGAATTAAGTAAAACCCAAAATCAGCATGATAGCCATAAAAATGGTTCCATTATATTTAAACCCATTGGATTTGATAGTCATACTTTTAAAACGTATGATGTGGAGTGATGTCCCAATATTAATGTCATAAAACAGTGACAGGTACTCTTAGAATGCTCTGGAAATGATGTATAAATCCAACTTTGTCCATATTAGATTTTTATGGGTACAAATACCATTCTATTACTTAGAAATCCTGAAAATCAAAAAATATGAATAAGTTACAGAGATGCAAATGAACGAGGCGTTAGATTGGCCTGTCCAGGTAAGTACAGAGGTTTTAGCCCAAGAACTCATATATGATTTTTGCATCCCCATATACAGGCTGCTTCATTGGTTTTGTATTGATATTTAGTTATTCGATAATTATTTTCAAATTATGAAAAAAAGAAATTAATACTTAATTATTGTAATAAAACAAATGCTATAGAAGTTGTTTGGGTCTCTTTCTAGATATTCAAGCTCTTCATATCAACCCTATACCCACCTCAAATTGGACTCTCTTCGATCGGGTGATATTAGCTGTAAATAATTCCAATTTTTAAATAAAAACTAACTGAATACCAAGCAATATAAAAAAAATAACCAAGGGTGAGTTCTACAGCATGGATGTTTTTGTTTTGATTTGTTCTTAAAAGATATAAATATGCAAAAATACATTGAAGGTTTGTTTTTATTTTCATTTGTTTTGCAACTGGTTTTAATTTGTTTCGTTTATTTGGAACTCAGGCCTACTTCGGAAAAATGCAAATATAAATATGTAGAGTATAAAACTTTGTATTTTGTATTATTTTATATGCATTTATACTGTATTTGTACTCTTTTCAAACTGAGCCTCAGCAAAGATTGAACAACACCTCCTCCTAAGAGGGAACAAGGGTTGTTTAGGGGTTAAAATTTGCCCCATTAATGGTGTCTGATGAGAGGAACAAGAAAAGCCTTTTGGGGCAATAACAGTATACTATTATTTATCTATTTATCATCCCTACTTCAATGACTAACCCACTATCCATAACCCTAACCCAACCCATCTATACAACTAACTCGAACTAATACAAAGCCTATAACAGTTCCCAACCAATATGATACACTAATTTTATACACACACAGCACAAGCAATATAACTTATGAATATTCGGATCTAACCAGAGACCCAATTACAAACCCCCCTTAATACGGCCTTTCTCCAACATAATTCCCAGGGGGGTCGTAATTACAAGTCATAAACACGTCTCCATCATCACAGACTACTCGAGCACATCCAATCCGTCGAGTTGTCTTCCACACAATTTGAGTATAGTGGCCGCACATCTGCCCATCTTGACAACTATTGCTGGCGTACGTGTAGTACTTCTCTTCGGCCGCCCATGCATTCACAGCGTCGGTAGGCGTCCAGCTCGAGCCGCTCCCCCAATACACGTTCTCGCCCAGCTTGAAGCCACCTTCCGGAAAAGAATGCTCCACGGCACAGTCGGCTTTCCTCTGCCCTGCCCACCACTTGGCGTAGTTCTCGAGCTGGTAATCCCACGTCAGGGGTAGCTCCAATTTTCTGGCTCTGACCATGTTGTGTGCAAACAAGAACTGCAGAGACTCACCCACGCAACCCCAACATAACTGTTTAGAGATTTTGTATATGGTTTCGTTATCCGGCAGTTTATGGTCATTTTCCGATGACAAGACCGGAGATGACTGAGAAGAAACAGGGTTGAGGTTTCCGTCGAGGGAGATGATGAGAGCAAGAAAGAGGAGAACCAGATGAGCTCTCATTCTTGTGTATGGGAGGAGAGAAACTCGGTGGATGGAAGTGGTGGAGTTGGGTTAATGTGAGCTCTAGCTGCTTATTATTTTGAAGCTTGGTGGCAGGGACAAAGACAATTGTGAATGATTGGAGCATAAATCAATGAAGGATTCTCGTGAGGTGGGCAATGAGCGCCCGTGAGCTATGGTTTGTTTGTTACGTGGGACGATCGGTCCCAGCTTGTCGCACTTCGGGTACTTCTCTCAAGTGTCAACCAGGGATTCACATGGGGTTGAGATGAATGCGATGACATGTGTTGGCAATTGATTGACTGACTGAGGCCCAAATCCACAAGATTGTGCTACGTGTGGACATGCATTATTTATTTGACACGTGGCGTCGGTCAATAGATATATATGGTGAATTAAGGGAGATTAAATCAAATCCTGTCGTGTATTGAGAACATCTTCTATGATAATGAGAGATATTTCCAATACACAGCGTAGATGTGCTGAGAGATGTTGCGGGGATAACTTGTAGATTTTGGACCAGAGAATATACTCTTCTGCTCATTGCATGAATCAAAGAGCTGGATTTGGGGCCAAATGTTCCAGAAATAAAGGAACTTTATTATTTTTGCTTGAGCTTATGCGCGTGAGTGTATATATTAGATTGCGAGGCTTTTTAATATATACATATATCTATATCTAAACTGCGCATCTAACAAAAAAATATATATATTTGATTGCCCTTGGAATGTAAAGTAGAAAACACCAAAAGATTGAGCCATAATAACAGTACTTTTTGTTTCATGAAATTTTATAAATTTAATGTGAATATAGACGAGGGCAAAATGCAATTTGTTTCATTAAGTTTTACATTTAAGTATTAATTTACATTATCCTTCATTAAATTATTTATTTAATGTATTTTTTATTTTCATTGCTAAATTTCATTAATTAAATTAAATATAAGTATTTTTGTTGGGGTGGTGCCCTAGTTGGTTGAAGTTGTCACATGGACATCGACATGGCCGACGAACCACATCAGCACATTGTTCGCCTATGAGCAGATAATTATGTCACCAAAGACCTTGCAGAGAAGTAGAGTTCCACATGAACAAGGAGAAGCGCCCTCGTCGGGGATGGCGTAATCTCTCGAAGACCTTAACAGGCAACTTCATCCCTAATGTAATCTTAGTTATGTGTTGCAAGGGCACTTATGTCTTTTCAGCCTTTTTTATTTCTTATGTTGTTGCCCTATTATTTAAATAAAAAAGGCTGGCACCACCAACACTGTTGCTTCGATCTCCATCTTCTCTTCTCTTCCTTCTCTTCTTCTTCTCCTCTTCTCTTCTCTTCTTCACTCTTGAATGAAATCATGGTATCAGAGCAAGATCGCACTTTGTAAAAAGTTTTTTTCTTTTTATGATCGAATCTTCAAACCACATACATGGACTAAGAATGAGAAAACTGGTTCAACCTACACTAAGAACTGTTGCTGGACTCTATTCTATTAACTTTTAAACAAAAACTGGGAAGAAAATCAAACTCAAAGATTGGCGGATGATTTGACTGAATTTTTCTAGAGGTTGGTGGCTGTGTTTCTTCTTTTCTCCCATTCTTCTCTTGACTGTAACTTCCAAAACTAGTCGAATTGATCAGGACCCTTGACTAAAGTCCTCTTTTATCACTGACTCTTGGTATTGTTACCAAGAACATCCTAAAATCTGCCCTAGCCAAATGGTGTAGGCGAGTTCAATGACCTCTATAGGTCGGTGATCCAAAACTGTGTGGGTAAAGAACCTGTGTAGGCCATGTGTGACCTGGTTTAGATGAACAAATACACCAGTAGAAGTGTAGATGTTATGTGTGGCTCAAACTAGCCCTTGTGAGGTCGGAGAGACCTGTAAATTCTTGACAACTGGTGATGTGTTATTGTGATTGCAACCCCTGTGAGGTTAGTTAGACTCTTAAATCTGTGACAATAGGTGCTGAGTTACTATGGCCTTTCTTTTCACCTTAAATCTTACAGTGGGGGTTGTGTTGTTTGTGAGTGTGTGAGGAGGGTTGTAAGTCTAAAACTTCTGCTTGCAGCCCCTGTTATGGCCTCAAAAAACTGCAACTTCTAGAAAATCTTTTAACTAGGGAGGAATGAACAACAAGCTTGACTTTATGAACTTTCAAATGACCATTATTCCCTTAGATGGCAGAAATTATTTGACATGGTCTAAGGAGATATGGTTGTACATCACAACCCAGGGTAAGGCAGGGTATATCAATGGAAAAGTGAAGGAACCTAGGACCGGTACTACTGAATATGATAAGTGGGACCAGGAAAACTGCATAATTATGTCATGGTTTTTGACTACTATGCTACCATCGGTTAAGCAGAATTTTATGTGGGCTGAGATAGCCAAGGAAATTTGGGAACAAGCAAGGTCAACTTACTTCGAGCAGAGACACTATGCTTGAATCTATCAATTGCAAGTTAAGTTAGCAACATGCAAACAAGGGGAAAGAAGCTTATCCACCTACTACTCTACCCTTACATCTATCTAGAAAGAGCTAGATTACCATCAAAACATTGACTAGGAGAGTGAAAAGGATGCCAAAGCTTACAAACAATTAGTGTCACATCAGCGGGTATTTTCCTTTTTGTTAGGACTTAATCCTATGTATGAACCCATTCAAGTTCAAATTTTGGGTAGTAAGGACCTTCCTTCTGTCCAAAAGGTGTATGCTTTGGTCCAGTCCGAGGAAAGTAGAAAATCTGCCATGAATCCCCCTGAGGGGGAGACCATTGCTTTATCTGCAAAAAGTACTCAGCCAAAAGGGAAGATGGTTAGAAAAGGGTTGATGATAAAGATAAATTGTAGTGCACTCATTGTCAGAAACCCCGTCACACATGGGAGACATGTTGGGAATTACATGGAAAGCCGAAGTGGGCATAATACCTAAATAAGAAATCAGCTCCAGAACAGAATAAGAAACCAAATCAGAAGAGGTTCACTTTGGGTAACTTGGCTTCTCATGAGTCGCAGAGTGGAGGAATAACTTTGAACTTTCAGGATGGCCCCCCTAGGTCTAATCTCAAGGAAAATATTATCTCTACCTTCTGTGACCATTTGGAACGATATGGTAGGGCTCTCACACAAGTAGATTTTGGACCCACTCCTTCAACCTCCTTTGCTTCTACCTCAAGTAGCTTAGCTTCTGCATTCCATGTGTCTACTGATACCTCCGAATCTCCATGGATTATTGATTCTGGTGCTTTCAATCACATGACTGGTAAGTCAACATTTTTTCAATCATACATCATTCTTTCGGGCAAAGATAAAGTGAGACTAGCCGATGGATCCTTCTCCTCCATTGCTGGTCGAGGATCTATATCTTTGTCATTTGGCTTACCTCTATCCAATGTTTTACATGTTCCAAAATTGCCTAATAATCTGTTTTATATTAGTAGCATTACACACTCTTTGAACTACTCAATGACCTTTTTTCCTCAACCTTGTGTCTTTCAGGATTTGGCCTTTAGGAGGACGATTGGTAAAGGGAATATGGTGAATGGTCTGTATGTGTAGGAAAATAAAGTTGGTCTTGTGGCCTGATCAGAGTCTTTGAGTTAGTCAAATAAAAGTCAGATTACCTTGTGGCACAACCGTTTGGGTCATATGTCCTTTGAGTCTTTAAAATACTAATTTCCATAATTGTTTAAGTCTATGTCAGTTAATGATTTTCAGTGTCAAGTGTGCTAGTTAAGTAAACATTGTAGAACTTCATTTCCTTTACGTAATAAAAGATCAAATGTTTCTTTTTCCATTGTGTATTCTGATGTTTGGGGACCTGTAAATATTCCAATGGAGAATGGCTATAGATACTTTATATCTTTCATTGATGACTTCTTTCGATACACGTGGGTGTACCCTATGCACTCTCGAGAAGAAGTTCCTAAACTTGTGAAAGTCTTCCAACGTATGGTGTACACACAATTTCAAATAGAGATAAAAATTTTCCAATCAGACAATGCCAGAGAGTATTTTCATGGTGACCCCACGGAATTTTTTGAAACTTATGGCTCTCTTCACTGTAGCTCTTGTGCTAGAACCCCTCAACAGAATGGGGTTGTAGAGAGAAAGAACTGTCATCTTTTAGAGGTCGCTCGGGGGTTGCTGATACACATGAATGTTTCCAAAAGATTTTGGGTGGATGCTGTTATGACTGCAGCTTATCTTATCAATCAAATGCCATCTCGTCTCTTAGAATACAAGTCCCCTCATCAGTTTATCTTCCCCACTGCTCCATTGTTTCCTATCCCTATGCGTGTCTTTGGGTGTAAATGTTTTTTCCATGATTTGTCTCCTATCCGCAGGAAGCTAGATCCCAAAGCCATTGTTTGTGTTTTCCTTGGCTACCCCCTTTCCCAAAAGGGTTATCGTTGCTTTGACCCTATTTCCAAAAAGTACTTTGTATACATGGATGTTTCTTTATTTGAATATGTGTCTTTCTTCCGTGCTTCTCCTTAGGGGGAGAGTCCAAGTGAGGAGAAACAGAGATAGTTTTTGTTACCATCTCTTCCTGACCCTCCTCCAATCTGGGTCTTCCATAGACAGTGGTGCAAAAGTCAAGGCCGGGGTCAACAAATTTCAATAGACACAGAGAATCCTGAAGCTGTGCAACCTATGCCATCGGACTCTCACGGGTTGAATCCATCACCACATCCAGGTACTATTGTTCTAGTTGATGTCCCTAAACCTATTGATATTGATACTTCTAATTGTGATCAAGACCTTCCTATTTCTAAGAGGAAGGGTGTCAAATCATGCACCACACACCACCCAATGGCTCACTCCTTATCCTATGAGAATGTTTCACCCTCTTTCCATGCTTTCCTCTCTGCTATTGATAGTGTTTCCCTTCCCAAAAGTATTGTAGAAGCTTTACTTATTCCTGAGTGGACAGATGCAATGAAGGAGAAGATCAATGCCCTTCACAAAAATGGCACGTGGGAGTTGGTGGATCTTCCTGAGGGAAAGGAGCCTATGGGGTGCAAATGGGTATTCTCTGTGAACCTAAGGCAAATGACACAGTGGAAAGGTACAAGGCCCGACTAGTTGCAAAAGGTTTTTCACA